CTAAATATAATAGATAAAACTCTAAAACTCTGAGAAGAAAGTGTAGGATTAAATCTGTATGACCTCAGATTTGGCAGTACAGCCTTAGATATGACACCAAAGAAAGAACAACAAAAGAAAAAAATAGGTAAATTAGACTTCATCAAAATTTAAAACATTCGTGCTTCAAAGGATACTATCAAGAAAGTGAAAAGCCAACCAACAATATAGGAGAAAATACCTCAAATCACATTTCTGATGAGGAGTTTGTATCCTGAATGTATAAAGAACTCCTTTGTGTAAGTAGGTGGAATGAAACAAAACCAATGTAGAGATCTTGAATTGGATACCAATAGCACTAAACTAAAGGCTGAAACTGTATCAAACCCTTTAGACTGGAAGATTAAGTAGAATTCTGGCTGGCTTATTTTATGGTTCATGAAGTGTTAGAGAAACTTCAAGGAATTTTTCATGTGTAGCTTTGATAATCAAGAGTGATGATAGAGTCTTAAAGGTATATTTCAATCTTTTAAGTTTGTGGATTTTTTTTTGTAAACTTTATTTAACATACCCAGATAAAGACAAGACATTTTCTATTAGCAATATTGAAAACTTACTAATCTTTAACAGTGCCTTTGCATATATATATGCAAAATAGAAATAGTTGGAAAAAAATAATTAGAATTTATCAGACTGCATCCATCCAAATAAAATTCTAGTCAGTTTACCATTGCATGATTTAGGGTAATTAAGAATTGATGTTATAGTAAAAGAAAAAAAAAGAATTGATGTTAGACTAAGGATATATTTGTTTAAAAAAGACAAACATGCTATTTTCCTGATTTATAAATATTTCCAGTGGCATCTCCAAGGTTTTCTATTATGATTTATGCTGCCACTGGTCTAATTATGATTTACTGATTAGATTCATTTAGAGATCAGTTTGACAAATGAACATTCATTTTGAAGAGAAATTGTCAGTGATAACTAACTCTGTACTGGTGATCATAAAACAGGAATGTAAGAAAAATATTGTTTGCCTTCAATTGACCATTAATTTTACCCCACTGATATTAACAATTTTTTAAAGATTTTATTTATTTATTTGAGAGAGAGCACAAGCAGGGGGAGGGGCAGGGGGAAAGGGAGAAGCAGACTCCACGCCGAGCAAGGAGCCCAACACGGGACTTGATCCCAGGACCCCAGGATCATGACCTGAGCTGAAGGCGTTTAACTGAATGAGCCACCCAGGGGCCCCTGATATTTACAATCTTTAATGGCATTCTTTAATTAATCATGTTTCCATACTTCATATAGTTATCCAGAACTTTTCAAGTTTGTTTTCTTTTCTTTGCAAAGGTTTTAATCAGAACAAGTGTGATATTTAAACTCTTTTATATTCAGACTCTTTATTTTTAAGAGCACTCTGTCCTATTCATTTGAAGTGTAGTTACTCTGTTCACAACTGAGTGCATCTTGACATTTGAAAATGAATACGGGCCTCAAGAGAAAGTGCAATTTACTCAGGTTTCACAGTTGCTCTTATTTAGTGATGTCTATGATCATATTAAAGATGTATTAATTGCATTTCAGGATTAACTCTGACTGAAGGGTCTGTGAAAAAGAGCCCATACACAATTATTTATAGCTCTGTCTCATTCTTTGTATAGGCTCCTTTTGGGAAGTTGGAAGGGAGATAAACCAATAAAGGGTAAATAAACTCAAATACATTCTTTTAAAAGTCGCCAACAATTTTATTATTCCTGCCAGAAGCCATCAGCTGTACGCAGATTAACTTTAATAGGGAGTTGTGTACCAAGAATCCTGACATAGAACCTCTAATTAGAGCTGATTACAATTTTTTTCAAATGCTTACTCAGAGAAGTGTACTTAATGGTGAATTGCAACCTTTCAAAAATTGAAATTACAAAATAATTGAATAAGAGGAGGTAGAAGAAGATGCAGGGGAGAGGCAGTTTCATAACTAGAGGAAAGGGTATTCTCAGAAGGAGCCCCTGCTTCTGGTAAACCTGTGAAGGCATTCCATGGGCAAACATTTCTTTCTCTTCTTTTATATACCAGTTTCTTGGTCTACTTGAGCGTGCAAAAGGCTCTGGAATTAGTTTGAGCTATTTACATCAGAATCTTTTAAAATGTGATCGGTTTCCCATAGCCATTTGGCATATAAATCATTGCAAAAGCTTTTTGTCTTATTTATTTGTTCGGCCCATATCTTTTCTATTAATAATTTAATCTTGTCTGTCATCAACTTAACCTGAATGAATAGCCAGTTTCAAGATCCTTTAGGTAAACTGATCTTTTGTAAGGTCAGTTCCCAACATTTTCTCTATAGCAATATACATGGAAAATGACTTTTATATGCAGTACACTTCTACTATCAGATATACACAGAGTAATCAACCCCTGGCATGTCAACTATAATTCTACACCATTTCCTTTGCAACTTGAAAGAAGAGTACATGGAAACATAAATGATAATGATGTTACCATAGATACAATCTTGAATTTGGTCTACTAGAGTTTCAAGATTAAAGCGTTAATAATAGAAATAAAGTACATCTTATAGCTGATGAGTATGTCACAATTAATAGAATAGGATATGAAATTAAAAATTACAGAACCATCAATGAGTAGCATTTGTGCTACATGGGAATGGAAAATCTTAACTTCAAAGAGCATTGTTGATGGCCCAGAGCAGTCACTACATAATGACTTTTGGTTGAAGTAATTAACCCCCTTTGTAAGAGTCAAATTATAACTGCCAATCATCAGGGCGCCAGGGTGGCTCAGTCAGTTAAGCATCTCACTCTTAGCCCCATGGAGGTTCCTGCAAGGATGTGGAGCCTGCTTAGGATTCTCTCTCTCTCCATCTTCCTCTGTCCCTGCCCCCACCCTTTTGCAAGAGCTATCTCATACCATTTGCAAGAGCTCTCTCATAAATAAATAAATTAATTAATTAAATAAAACTGCCAATCACCTGTGTCTCTTTTCCATGTAGAAATCTGGATTGTTATCCTGAAAGAATAAGATTCCTTACAGTCTTCTTACCTGATTGCAGTGTTTCCTCTATTTGCCAGAGATGTAGACATAGACTTGTCAAGTCACACTGGAGAGTCAGACACATGTTACTTCACTTTCATGATGTTCACACTTAAAGAGATAAAGGACATTTAGTTTGTGGATTCTCCCTCAATTGGAGTTTTACTGATTTTTTTTTCTGATTATTTTCAGCTCATTCTTCTTTAACAGGAATATCACAAAAATGATGTGAAGTATTTTTCTCTCTGTATTCTATCAGGTGGCACACATTTTTTATGTGTACCATTACTAATGATGTTCACCTGGATTACTTTGTTGAGGTGGTATCTGCCAGAATCCACTGTGAAGTTATTCCCTTTACCTGCATTTATTTTTTTCTTTATCTGTATTTAATAAGCCTTTTGTAGAGAGAGTTTTCTGTGTCAATTTGGTGGCTATAATACACAGTTATTTAATCAAATACTAATTTAGGTGTTGCTGTGAAGGTATTTTGTAGATGTAGTTAACATCTATAATCAGTCTACTTCAATTAAAAGAGATTGCCCAAGATAATGAGGGTGGGATTCATTCCATCAGTGGAAGGGCCTTAAGAGCAAAAACTGAGGAAAAGTATCTGCTTCAAAACTGCAGACTCCTGCCTGAGTTTCCAGCCTTTTGGCTTGCCCTATATAATTTGGACTTGCCAGCCCCCAAAATCACATGAGCCAGTTCTTTGAAATCTTTTAATATAACATAGTAAAAATTACTGCTTAATTATTAAATGAAATATATATTTTGCCCATATATATCTAGTCCATAAATATCTAATCCTTTGGGTTCTATTACTCTGAAAAACCTTGACTGATCTGACTGATAGGGATTTTGGTATTTGGGAGTGGTTTAGGAGGAACAGAATCTTAAGGATGAGATTTCTGAATTGATTGTATGGAGGTAATTTGAGATTATGAAATGTCCCGTTCTTCATCAAAATGTCAATTTATCCATTTTTCATTTACATCAGTATGGACTCATGATTTCCTAATTTATTCAATGGTTTATAATCTATGTTTTGTAGTAACTATTGAAATATAATTCACATTGTATATAATCTACACTTTCTAAGTATAGAATTCAATGATTTTTACTGTATTCAGAGGATTAGGCAACCATCACCTCAATTAATTTTTGAATACTTTTCTCACCCCAAAATGAAGACCTATACACTTTCTCTTTTATCCCCCAGACTCCTCATCTCATCCAGGCTTGGCAACCACTTAACTATTTTCTGTCTCTATAGATTTGCCTGTTCTAGACATTTCATATAAATGGAAAAATGTAATATGTAGTCTTTTGTGACTGGCTTGTTATTACTTAGCATAATATTTTCAAGTTCTTCATGTTGTAGTATATATCCATATATCATTCCTCTTTATGGTCAAATAATATCCCATTGTGTAAAAACCACATTTTGTTTATCCATTCATTATTTTTTTTTTAGAGGGACTGGTTCTTTATTTCAAAAAGACACTTGTCAATTTTCAGTATCAAAACAGTTTGCACTATTGGTTTCTTTCTCCCAGTCGGCCCCCAGAGAGCACACCAAAGGAGGGTGCATTTTAAGCCAATAAGCTGCAGGATACACACCTAACAGGCCTCATAGAAACCTCACCAAAAAGGGGAATTGGGGAGGGAAAGAAACTTTTTAAAAGATCAGCACACTGTCAGCCCACAGACTGTAGAGAGTTCTCAGCCAGACAGGGTGGCCAATGTGCCCCAACCCTAAAGAAGCAAAGTTTCAAAATAATATAAAATTTAAAAACAGTTTTGTACATGATCTATTCAAGATTTCTCCAGCACTAACTGATACAAAGCGCAAGATGGCACTTTTAGAGACAGCAGCTTCGGACCCAGCAAAGGGTAATGAGATGAGTTTGTTTCATAATGGCTAAATCAGTGGCAAACACATAATTTTCTTTTTTTCCTTCAAGGAGGCAGGAGAGAAAATAAGCAGTCACCTCAACATAAGGGGAACATGATCCATTCTATGGGCAGTTAGGGTAAAGATAGGATAAGGATTTGGTCTCAGATAGAGGTCTCACCATCTTAATCTGTTTGGTCACTTCTGATGGAAAAAAAAATTAAAAAATGTAAGTTGCTCAAAGATACCTTAAAGCTGAAACCCTGAGCCACACTTTTTTGGCCACTCCTCCTGGAATCACCTTTCTAATCTGGCTGGTACTTTGGACAAAGCAATGAAGCTTCCCAGAGGGGGTCTCTTTCCGGGCTCTGGCTCTCAGTAGGGCAGGCCCCTGCCTCCTCTGTGGAGAGGGCAGTATGCACTAAACTGAAAAGTTACTTCCCAAATGTGAAGAAGGGAACAGACTGCTGCTTCAGAACTGTGGAATTATTTGGAATGTTTTACAAATGGTTGCTACATCAACAATAACAAGAAAAGGTAATTACAAAATGTGTACATCACAACATGCTTTTAAAGACACTTTGCATTGTGCTCACATTCCCTTAAACATTGTTCCCAAAGGTGCTCAGCCTCAAGCCCGACTGGAATCTCTAGGGAGAGGCAGAGACAATTTGGCGAAAAAGACACAGGGGTTGGGGTGGGAGAGGCAGCAAAAGGAGAAAGCAGCCTTCCAGTTAAAGATCAGTCCTCAGTTTCAAGGCCAGCTTCGGGCAGGCTGGCCTCAGTGGAGTCGGGATCAGAGGCGGGAGGAGCAGCGGCAGGGCAGGACTGGGGTGCTCTACATCTCATTCAGGTTAAGCAGAGTCTGGTCCAGCATCCTTTGTGTACAGAGGTGCTCCTCTTTGGTGCGTTTCAGCTTATCTTCCAAATCATCAATTGTCTTCTCCAGCTTGGCTACCGATCTCTCAGCAAACTTGGCACGGGTCTCTGCCTCCTTGAGTTTATCCGTGAGAATCTTTATCTCTTCCTCATATTTGTCTTCCTTTTGAGAGTACTTTTCTTCAGCAGCACTCAGACACTTCAGGTTCTGGTCCATCAGTCTGATCTGCTCATCCATCTCCCGGCAACGGGACTCTGCCAGCTCAGTTTGTTCCTCTGTGCATTCCAAGTCCCCCTCAATAATCACCAACTTCTGAGCCACCTCTTCATACTTCCGATCTGCCTCTTCTGCAATGTGCTTGGCCTCTTTGAGTTGGATTTCCTGGAGTTCCATCTTTTCTTCATCTTTTAAGGCTCAGTTCTCAATAACCTTCATACCTCTCTCGCTCTCATCTGCAGCTTTCTCCGCTTCCACCAGCTTTTGCAGGGCAGTGGCCAGGCGCTCCTGGGTGCGGTCCAGCTCCTCTTCAACCAGCTGGATCCTACGGTTCAAGGCCACCTCGGCCTTGGCATTTGCACTAACGTAGTGAGTGAGGCACCAATTCCTCCTCTGCTCCTTCACATCGACTGAGAGAGTGGGTTTAGCAGTTGCCCGCATAAGAAAGAGCCCAGGCCGGAGGATGGGAGGCGGTGCTGTGGCCTCAACCTCCTCCAGAGAGGGCACCGCGCTTCCTCTCCACCGATTGCTGCCTCATTTCCTCTATCCATTCATTATTGATGGAAATTTAGAATGTTTTCATTTTTGGCTGCTATTGTAAAAGGACACTAAAATCATTTGTGTACAAGTTTCTTTGTGGACATATGCTTTCAGTTTTCATGGGTATCTACCTACGAGTGGAATTGGTGGGTGAAATAGTAACTGTATGTTTAGCTTTTTGAGGAACTTCCAGACCGTTTTCCAAAGTGGCTCTCTCATTTTACATTCCACCAGCAGTGTATGAAGGTTCCAATTTCTCCACATTCCTGCCAACATTTGCTATTTTTTTGTTTGACTATAGTCATTTTAGTAGTTGTGACATGGTATCTCATTGTGGTTTTGATTTGCCTTCCCCTAATGACTAATAATGTTGAGCATCTTTTATGTGCTTGTTGGCCCTTTGTGTTTTTTCTTTGGAGAACTATTTACTCATATTCCTTGTTTATTTTTTAATTATGCTACTTGTCTTTTTTATTACTAAGTTGTAAGAGTTCTTTACATATTCTACATTCACATCCCTCATCAGATATATGATTTGCAAATATCTTCTCCCATTATGTGGGTTGTCTTTCTCTTTGGCGGGAGTATCTATTTAAATACAAATGTGTTTCATTTTTATGAAACCACATTTATTTACTTTCTCTTTTGTTGCTTGTGTTTTTCATGTCATATCTAAGAATCCATAGCCAAATCCAAAGTCACAAAAATTTACTTCTATATTTTCTTCTAAGATTTTACAGTTTTAGCTATTACATTAGGTCTTTGTTTAATCTTGAACTATATACAGTATGAGATAAGGGTCCAACTCCATTATTTTTTATGTAGACAGCCAGTTTTCACAACACCATTTATTGAAAAGTCTATTCTCCATCCATTGAATTGAACTGTGATGTGGAAAATGAAAAAGCTGGAAGCTAAAATAATTAGCACCTTAACTGAACCAACCATTAAGCTGGCAAAAACTGATATAATCAGCTTTTTTGGAACCCTGCAATCTAAACAAAAGCTTACAGCAATGAAGCAAGTGCTTAATGAAGGAAAAAATACTGTAAATTTCAATATGAAAGCATTGTAGTATTTTTGCTTACCTTCCTACCATCCTTCATTCTCCAGCTCAGTAGTGCCTGTCTGGACAGTGGCCCACATTACTAGGGAGACTTGCTGGTGCTAAGGGGGCAATATAAACCTTGTTCTCAAAAAACTGCGGTTGTGAATTTTGACATGTCTGATAGTTACCTGAGGGAATGGCACAAAGGCTCAACTTTCTTTTGACCCCTGGAGGGCTGGAGCAGCTTTCTGGCAGTAGTAACATTTGTCAAAAGCATCTAAAGACATATACTATCTGCATCTAGCTGGAGCAAGCAATAGCAAATGGGGCAAGTAGCAGACAGACTCAAAAGCCTGAGAAGGGGGCTTAGGAGGAGGATTCTTGGAGGAATAAGGGCTTTGAAGGGTTACTATGTATACCAATGAAGCCAGATTGCAGTGTGCATTCTCAGGGCCACAGGCATGTTCAGAAAATGCGTGAGAAGAGGTTTGCACCTCTTGCTAATCTGTGGGCTCCCTGTGAGCAAGAGGTATAAAGCATAGGCAGATTTGTAAGTAGCCTGTCTTACTGTTGAAGGAGTGTCCCAGCTCCAAACAATCTTGGCTCCAGGCATTAAGGAAATCTCCGTCAGCTGTCAGGGTAGTGATTGACCACTGAGATAACAGAACGGAGACATCAGTGACACACATGACTAGCAATACAGTCTTTGCAAAAAAATAGTTTGAAAAAGTTAACTTTAAGAGTTAAAAGTTAACTTTAATTTAACTTAAAGTTAATAACTTAACTTTAGCTCTCAACAATCAACAAACCTTGGGGGAGTGGAGAGAATCTTATTTACAGAGTTACCACATTATAATATTCAAAATGTCAAGTTTTCAACAGAAACTTACAAAGGCATACAAGAAACAGGAAAGTATGGTCAATTCACAAGAAAAAAAGAAGTGGACAGAAACTATCCTTGAAGAAGTCCAGGCATTGGATTTATAGAAAAGACTTCAAATCAACTATAGTATAAGGTGATTAGAATAACTGAATTATATGGTCAGGGTAAAACACTTGAAACTTTATTTTTCATTAGACTGACAATGCCACCAATTGTGCTGTTATTTTTTACCACAACTCTTTTTTCTATTTACTACAACCCTATATTGAGCTGTGTAAGCAAAATCTTTGACTTCTCTCTTAGAGAATAGAAGGGAGATCAGGGAGAATAGAAGAGTTCTCTTAAAGCTGATGTTCTGCATTAGTCTGAAAGGCATTGCCACCTATTTTCTGATTGGATCCCTAAAGGTATGGATCTGTGGAGAAACGAGAATGCTACCAGGCCAGTGCAGCTGGAAGTGCTAGACTATGACCTGTGTGTACTGATCCACCATGAGTTAAGGAAATGGATGGAGAGTGACTGTTTAGAAACTCCTAACAGCAATTTCTAAGAATAATTCTAGGTCTGTGGAATATAAGAAAATATTAGGTAGTATTTCAAATGCTGTTTATCTCATTTATTTTTATTGTAATTTACTTTTATTGTATTTTACAGAAATGCTGATCCACAACAAATTGGAGAAAAATTTTTAAAAAATTTTTCAGATGGTTTGAGATCATTGTTCTAGGCAACTTCATCAGATCTCCTAGGTCAGGCTTATTTATTTGGGAATATAATGATTTGCTAAAATACCAAAGACATCTGTGTTTCAATGTGAAAACAAAATTGACAAACCATTGGCAAAACTGGCAAAGAAAAAAGAGAGAAGATTCAAATTTTAAAGTCAGGAAAAGAAAGGAAATACTCCTCGCATTCTGGCGGCCCCTTATTTTTCAAAGAACTACTTTTGGTTTTGTTAATTCTACTAATTTTCTATTCTTATTAGGTTTATTTATGCTCTAATCGTTATTATTTCCTTCCATCTGCATCTTCTTGGATTTAGTTGGCTCTTCTGTTTCTAGTTTCTGGAGGTGGAAGTTTAAGTTATTATTGGACATCTTTCTTTTCTTTTAATATAGGCTTCAATAGCTGTTAATTTTGAATAACATCCCAATTGTTTTTCTCTCTTCATACATTTTCTAATTGTCTAAAAGTAACATGGACAGTTCCAAAGGAAGTGTTTGTAAACAGCTACCTGTGAAACAGAGGTAGATAGAATAGCTACTCCCACTGCATATGTACATGCTCATTGGATTTCAGTTTATTTTGCTTGCACACTTTGCTTATAAGTAGCATTATGTGTAAAATAGTGAAGGGGACCCCCTTCACGGAGTCATTCTTGATATTCAAATAATCACTCAGTAATTTCTCTGTTGCATCAAGAATTGATAGAACTGACAGGTAAGCACTGAGTGAAAGCCACAAAAACTTTGAAGTACATGTGGTGTCTCTACCTTTTTTTTTTAACATTTAAGTTTTCTAATGTAAAGATTAAAGTTAATGGGAACTATTATTTAGAATTAAAAAAACTGACCTAAATGAAAACACTAATTTGAAAAGAGATGTGTACCCCTATGCTCATTGCAGCAGTATTTTTAATAACCAATATATGGAAGCAACCTGTGTCCATTGATGAATGAATGGATAAAGAAGATGTGTCTCCAGACACAATGGAATCGTATTCAGCCATAAAAAGAATGAAATCTGGCCATTTGTGACAGAGAGTTTCATGCTAAGTGAAATAAGTCAGATTGAGAAAGACAAATACTATATGATTTTACTTCTATGTGGAATCTAAAAAACAAAACAAATGAACAAACAAAACAAAACAGAAACAGACATAGATAAAAAGAACAACCAGTTGTTTGCCCATGAAAAGAGGGAAGGGGTAGGGAATGAAATAGGGGAAGGGGATTAAAAGGTACAAACTTCTAGGTATAAAATAAATAAGACACAGGGATGCAATGTACAGCATAGGGAATATAGTTAATAATATGTAACAACTGTATATGGTGACAAATGGTAGCTAGATTTATTGTGGTGATCACTTCATAATGTATCTAAGTGTTGAATCACTATGTTGTATATCTAATATAATATTAATATAATATTGTTATGTCAGCTATGCTTCAATTAAAAAAAACACCTTAATTTTCAGTAATTTCTGAAGATAAAACTCATTTAAAATTAAAACTTGGGGAAAAAATTAAAATTTGGTTTTATTACCTTCAAAAATTAGGTCTGACAAGCTCTTATAACAGGTGATTATCCCAAGTAGAGAAGTATAGCATAACCTCACTGCTTTCTTTCCTGGTTTTGGAACAGTATATCAGTGGTATAACGTCCAATAACATTTATTAAATACTATATGCAAGATACCTGCTAAACACTGACTTAAAATTGATGGATATATACAGTCCCTTCTCTCAAACAGCTATGTCCATATTGCAAGTAATATAGAACCTAGTAAAAGAAAACTTATAATATTCACTTTAGCTATATTTTTTGGATATAGGAATAGTAAAATAGGAAGAGACATTTTCCCTGGATTTTCTCCCTAGTGTTCTGGCTTCTAAGGAGCTCCAGACACAGTCCTAAGAAGAAAAACATGTATCCAGGAAAGGCTTCTGTGACTGTAAAGCTCTCTCCAGAACAATATATCAACCTCTCTTGATGCACTTCTCACTTCTTTTTATCGTCTGAATTATATTCACTTGGCAAATGAAATGGCTAAATTTCAGTCAGGCAACTTGCTCAGCTTCTCTTTAAATTGATGTTAGCCACAATGGTACTGGGCCTCAGTTCAGTAGTCTTTATTACCTAAAA